CAGGTTTTGCAGCGAGACATGCTGGGTTTTGATGGATTTGTGGATCCTCGCGGTGGGTCATCTCTTGTGAACGTGACTTGCTTTGCACACACCATGTTGGTTTGACTCCGTTTTGCCGAACAAACCAAAAGCTTCGGAGTCTTGGCAGGGTCAATATAATCCTATCGAATTCCCACAAATTGGCCTGAACTCGTTGCTTCACTATCTCTTGCTTGGACGAGTGCAGTGCCTCAGCTGTACCAGAGCCTAGCATCTTGCTGCATTTCAAGTCGATTTCCAGGAGAAATCAAGATCAGTCATGTCGTTGGCAATTCTCCAAGTTCTCCAAGAGGTGTGTGTGCGTATCTCTTCGTCGCATGGTCGGGGCCAAGCCCCCAGGCGATGAGCTCTCCGGAGTCCGTGGCCTTGCCCCTGAGCGAACCGGACCGACGCCACCCCCCGACGGACCGGATCGTCACCCGAAGCCGGCGAAAGCGAAGAAAGGGGGCGGTTCGGGCGGGTCGGAGGCGGTCGGTGTCTGCAGCCCCTGATCACCGTTTTTCACCTGATGAGTCGGCCCCAACAAAGACGAAAGAGTCCCCCACTCCGAGGGCTCAACAACTGTCCGACTCGTTGGGACGAGGACAGTGCTCCGGGCAGACTGTGGAAGATATGTCGACTCCAGTATGCTTGCAGCCTGCCTCTTGGGCTCCGCAAGCCTCTTGAGCATGTCATCCAACTGACAGCAGCTGCACCATCGGCAGGTGGGATGTGAAACTGGGGGGCAGGTGATTTGTTGGACTGGGACCACTTGTTCTGTGGAGAATCCCGAGATTCCAGGACTTGAAGTGGCCATATGTTCAACATGAAGCTCTGTGTATCAAATAGATCTCCTCAAAAAAACAACTTTGACCCAACCTGCTCCTTCTCAAGAACCTTGCGTCCCCGTCCTGGCCGTCAGAGGTTGAAAAGGCTGGTGAGCACTGTGGCCCGGACCCCAAGCACATCAATATAGGCCGTGTGGCGGCCTTGTTGAAGACCGGTCACCTCTATCTTTCTTACCAAATTAAAAGTACACAGCTTTTGGGCATTGCTGGCATGTGAAAAGTTGCAAAGTGTTTCCTAAAGTATCAAACAACAAACAAAATCACAACACTCATCAAACGGAATGATGCAATCTTTTCTTTGGCGCGACACCTCCTGTCCAGTGATCTGCAGGAGGCTTGATTCGACGCGGTTGTGAGAGCTCCTCCTGCCCACGGATGCCCATCCAGTGACCGTCAAGGCTAAGCCGGCCAAGCATGAAGGTGCTGAAGGGGTTCGACTGGTTCAACAAATCCTTTAAACAAAAAAGAACTGGTTATCAAAAGACGTCCAGTGAAATTGAGAGTATACTTGGTCTTATTTTCAGTCGCCTGGCGCTGTCGATCATATCGGCGTCCACGAAAGCGGAGGTAGGTCTCCAAGACCTCGAAATTTGTGGACTTGCTGGGTAAGTCAAAATGTCGTAGCCTCGAGGTTAAAAATAAATAAATACTGTAGAAGTTGCATGTCTTGGTTCAAAGTGTTACATGCAGAAAAGAAGTTCCGAAGAATGACGAAAAAGAAGTGAATGCCCTCTGGTTGGGGTGCAGGGTGGCAGACAAACAGGCAGCCTGCATGACCGAGACACACAACTTTACAAAGAGACAGCCAGTTAACTGCTAGTTTTTGCATGTCCAATTACAAGTATATACTCGGTGGATGAATACCAAATCAATGGGTATCTTTGTATATTCGATCGATCCAATCGGAGGCTCCGGCCAGCTGCTCTCCGAAGCTCATGGGCACCTCGGCCTCCTCCGGGCCCCCAACCGGGTCGCAACAAGGGGATGCTGCATCAACGGGGACCTTGATACAGCTGCACGTCTGACAAATGTGTCCAACGTAGTCATGTTGCAATGTGGAGCAACTGCCCCCTACTCAAGCCAACAGGACAAAGCCTCTGAGATCTTCCAAGTCTATACCAGTCCTCGCTGCTTGCTTGAGATGATTCCTTGGATCAAAAACACTCGGAAAGCATCCAAAAGCACTTTGTTGCTCCGTTCAGCTGCAGTCACAATGCCCGTGAAAGGCATTCCTTCGATTGCTGCCCCTGCAACAGTGACGACCCAGGATCCCTGCACCATTCCCGTTCGGCCAATCGCCCAAACCATCTGAATCTGAGCGTAGTCGACCAGAATCAGGCACTCTCACACCCCAAAAGTAGGGGGTTATGTCCCGTTCGGTACAAGGGACCTGTCACATGCATCCAGGTGACTATCTACGACCTACGAGTATCTTGGGATGGACCGGAATGGATTTTCAAGATATCCAACACTGCACGTACTCCAAGGCACGTACTCCATGCGCATTCGAAATGCTTGCCGGCTGGAAGTAGAGCCACCACTCACATAAGTTGCCTCGAAAGCTTTGGATAATGTATGCAACGAATGACCACGCTGTGAATTCTGACTCAAGACGACTCAAGACCACACAAACAAGTTTAAACGATGTTCACACATCAAACACATCACCAAAACAACACATCTTGAGGATTCATGCTGGGAGTGCGATCGTCGAAATCTCTGACAGCAAACCTGACATCCTGCCTCGTGAGATGGGCCTGAGGGGGCTCCTCATATTTTGGCAGAGATCCAGCATATTATCAAAGAAATCTTCGTGTAGTGGTCTTTGAATCCCTTGTTTTTGAATGGGATAATCAAACCTCAAGGCCACTTGAACAACTTGCAGATCTTGGAAGCAGAAAATGAAAAGACTTCAAAACTTCAACTTCAGTATCAATGATGATCCATGTGCTTGTCACAGTGTTTGTGTCTAGTGACCAACAAAACACGAAACATGTGTGATGACGGTCGGAGGGCCACCACACAAACCATATGTTCAACAAATGGATTTCCGTTTCCCTTTTGTCATTCGTCATTCTTGCAGTGCAGTCACGGTTGTGATCATGCGCGAGTTTGCCCGTCCTGCTGATGTTGAGGCTGCCATTGCTGCTTGAGCATCCTTGGGTTTCCAACGAGCCATTAATGGTTGGAGCATCTACAAAACGTTTCAAGGACAAAAAAGCACCACCCGTCCCGGTCCTTGCTAGCTTGAGCCTGCTGAACCTGCACGGCTGACTCAGGTGTTACGCGCGGTAGCGCTCTCGGCCGGTGTGTTGCACAGGTGGTTTTGCACCAAAGAGTGTCACAGCGCACCTTTGCAGCAGTCACCATAGCGCTTCACAGAGCTGCCAAGCAAACGTTTAGGCATCCGTTTGTCGACACGTGCTGAGTAGATCTCAAATAAACTGTCAGCTGTGAAGGTGTGGAATAACATACATTATGTCTACTTCGCCCGTTTTGTACCAGTAAGTCCACAAGACAAAACAAATGTGTGGGTACTCATGTGCCTAGGGCCTAAAGAGCCAAAAACATCGCAGGAGTTTGACTGGGTGGCCAGCTGCGAATGACATTGCAAAAGCCGGTGACTCCCAATCGCACAGAGCTTCGAAACGTCCGTCCAATCTGTATAAAGTCACACAGGTATATACAGTTACACAAAGTTCTTGACACAGCAAGTAAGCCCATCATTGTCTGTTGCCGCACTTCCCGTTGATCGAGAGCAAACATATTCTGCGAAGTGTCTTTTCACCATGCGTGGATTGGTTGATGTCGGTGGCGTAAACGGAGGAAACGGTTCTCACGCGCAATGTCCATTGGTGAATCTCCAAATTGACTTCTCAAAGTTTCGTCAGCACCGGATTCTATCAGAAAGCTCCATCCTTCTAGAGTACATCTGGGAGAATCTGCCATATAGTGCAGCGCTGACCAACCATTGTCCTCATCAACTTGGTTGACATCAGCTCTGGCATTCAACAACAAACGCATGATAGTGACTTCAGACGTTTGGGCCGCGTGCATAAGAAGCGAGAAGCCATGCTCTGCCACCATGTTTGGATTAATCAACCTCAGCAGGTCTCGCAACTTTGCCTCATTGGCATTCAAGACAGCCTCGAAGGCATCATCAACCAAAGCCTCCATTCTTATCACCTTAGCATCATCATCCTCAACCGTTGCCACACCTTGGCTTAAAGCAATCTCCATTGCCTCGAGGAGAGGTGGCTTGGCAGCATGTCCTTCGACCAAACAGACTAAAGCATCCCACCACGCACCCTCGAAGGAACGCATCTCACCTAGATTCACAAGCGAACCGAATCCCTGTTGCGTGAGCGAAACCCCGCATAAGTCCCACACAACGCGAGGCTCCAATGATGAATCTTCTGTTGCTTCGGAATCCTCATCCGACTCTTGATCCAACTCCAATACAAAAAATCCGCTCTTCAGGCTTCGCAACCCTCAAAGGCATCAGTTTTCGCCCCCCTCAAGTGTTGTGGAGCCAAAGCCATGTCCGGTATGCGATCGTCAAGGTGAGGTGATTTGATACAATCAGCACCAGTCTCACCGTGCCATGTCCAAGAGTTAACCAACCCAAAAACATTTTTGAAGATGCGGTCTTTCGCCAGCGGCTCCCCGCCAACAAAGGCCAGAAATCCACCCTGCACGACAAAGCTGTGTAGCGCTTGATCCAATTTGGGGCTCCACAATTTGCGAGGCAAATCCACAAACATATCACAAACCAGCACAACATCGAAGTTTGGAAGGGCCCTGCACACGTCTGAAGGGCTACACATACGCAGGTCCTAAATCACTTGGGGTAACTTGGTTTTTGCGTAGTCGTCAACTTCTCGGCATAGGTCATGCCAATACCAAGACCTCCCAACACCAAAGCTCTCTTGCCTCTGAAGTGAACTGCGAACGAAGAGCGGTCGGCACGTGGGTCAAAGGAAGCGAGCTGGTCCGAGTTCTTGTAGGGATCAAAGTCAAACAGGGATGGGCAAGAATAACGAAAACATAAGCGGGGTACGCATGATTGTTTTCAAAAACAATCACTTCGACATTCTGCTTTGAAGTACAGGAGTGTGCTCCATCAGGTGCCTTTTAGTTCTCAGGCATCCTCAACAGCTTCGCCCGCAGCTCACGACATGCCCAGAATTTGCAGGCCATGGTTTTCGTGTGGCAGTTGTCCACATGCAACTTGATGGGGTCCTTCGTCTTGCAAATTCCAGCTGCAACACGACACAGGAGGATGTCCTTCACCGAGCCTGGCATGTCTCGGCGAGCGCGAACGAAGTGATTGGCCATCCTTGGGTCTACAGCAAAATAATGTCCGACCCCATAGACATTAAAGGTTCGATTGGAATACGCTGTCTTGAACCCACCCTCGATGATCTGGCGCACATCGTCTGCACCATGCCACAGCCACATCTCCGCTTGACCCGGAAAACCTTCATTCACAGCTTGGAGATGAGTGTCGTATAAAGCCCACAAAGTGGGGTTTTCAACTCTCTGAATGGATTGCAGCTTGCAATCCTCTGGCACTTTCCCATCAAAGTATAGGGCAAGAGCCTTCCATTCTGCGGTTGTCTCTGACACTGCCTGAGTGGATATCTCTTCATAGGAATGCCAGAATTTCCTTGAATCAATGCCTTTGCCACTCGCTTCCATTGCTACAAACAAGACCTGTGCTATGTTTCATTCTGAAAAGATTGCGCCGTGAACCATGCGAACCATGAGAAACGCATCTGGTTTGTGCGTGTGTCTTCCATTATCTTCGTTCAGTTGGCATTCAGGTCAACACCTCCTGCTGGTACAAGTCCAAGGTGTTCTTTTGGGTGTAAACTCAAATGCAAAGTACTGGAGTTCAATAAAATGGACACACCAGTGTGCTTCACGTTGTCGAGCCAGTGACTTGAGCAGAAGCTGCTGGAAACAAACAAGGCAAAGGATGTGAAAACTTGAGAAGCCTGTTCCATCGAAACCACCATCCGTTTCTTTATCTCAACAAGTCCCAAAAAAGCACGTCTGCACACATCCATTTCTTCCATCTGTGCCAGCAAGTTCTCCAGCGATTCAGGTTCTGGAGCCACCTCCTCGGACACCTGAGGCGCCCGCTTCGGCGGAGTTGGAGTGCTTTGACTCTTGGATCGCTGAGTCAGTGGAAGCTCCTTACAGCTGATGGCTGAGCCAGTGAAAGTCCACCAAATCATAACTCATGTCATTGCACTTTTGGACTGGCTGGTCCAAAAGTAAAATGCATTTCAAAAGAACTAACATAAACAGTAAACAGCCTTTTTCTTTCTGGTGATTGCTTAATCCTAGAAGACCCACAAATCCTGGCAGCTGGCAACCCACAGCGACCCTCCAACGTGACAGTCCTCGGGGCCCTCCCAGAAGAGAGCCGATGGCATCTTGGTCGAATCGAAGACAGTTGGGAACACCGAGCATGATCGCACCGGTTAAAATCTGGTCATCAGGATGTTGAGAGATTCTGTGGAATTACCTTGTCGAGCACACCTCTCACCTCTGTCTCAGGTACAGGCTAGCGCGACGGGAGGCTGTACCCTCGTGGCTTTACACCTTAAAAGCACTCCGAAACTTCAGAGAAACATCAAAGAAAAAGAATCATGCAAACGGAAACAAACCAAATCATGGTTGTTCCGAATCGTTTCAGCCAAGCTCTCAAAACACCAAGGCTCCCCACCAACGCTCCAACACCTCGAACATCTCTCCATCGGCCACGGGCTTCGGTTCCGCCAGCGGCTCCGCTGTGGGAGGTGATCCCGCAGCTTCTGCAGCCCGAGGGGCCATGGGAGCAGCCCGGGCCGCTTGGCGTTGCTCCCGGTGCTTCCGGTTCCGCGCGGTGGCCTTGCAATAAATTCCAGAGATGAACTAATCAACTAATCAACTAGTAGCGTCCTTGTTACTAGTAGCAAGGCCAGGAGCCCCTAGTAGCATCCTTTATACCAGTATATAATCAACTTGGATCCAAGTTCATCCCAGTCCTTTGGCTGGACCCCACCCCGACCAGAATAAGGACAATAAGATAAAGCCATATATATAAAGCCCGCGCGAGGCCTCTGCAAGGAGGCTTGGCAACTGGAAAACCGACAGGAAGGGATTGTTGGCCTCAGGATGAATTGTGCTTTCACTGAATGATCAAGTCATAGTCATGTCAAGTGAACACTGAATTTCCAGGAAACTCCCTCCACCAGTACACTCCGCTTCCAAGACTTCCGAGACCGCAACAGCCGCCATCATTCGTGGAGAGTCTTCTGCCACCCGCTCCGACCTAAGAAGAAAACGACCGCTTCGCTGCCTCACCTCTGGGCACCTGCTTCACACGTAGTAACAAGTGCATCGCTATTAGGAACACGTGCATCGCCACTAGTAGCAAGAAGCTACTAGTAGCTACTTGCTACTAGTCGTAATGCACTTGTTACTAGTAGCGATGCACTTGTTACTAGTAGCAAGAAGCTACTATACACCTCCTCCCTGGTGCCCCCACACCGACATGGTCTTCCGTCGTTGCGCCTGCTGCCGCGCCTCCACCTGGGGAGGAAGCGTTGACGCGGACGACGGGACGACGGTCCCGCGGCGGGACTGTTTGGCCGGGACGAGCGACAAGCGCCTCCGTCCAAGCGCGGAGTTGTTGTTGGGCCCTTGACCCAAAGAGCAGCAGCACCTGGGCCGTTCAAACGCTAGACATGTGCAGAAGGGTGAAGCAAAGATCCTGTTGGAAAGGGCGAATCGCTTTGAGCCTGGCCTGTGTTTTGGGGGGTTGATGGGCATTTAAGATGTGGCAGTCAAAAGATTTATATACATGATGGAAGTGGGCGACGATGATGCAGGAAAGTCACTGGGTGAGGTGCATCATCAGCATGGTAGGTGGTGAAGCATGAAGAAACTAAAGACTTTGGCATGCAAGCATGTGAAGAATGTTCATGTTGTCGAGTTCCAGCGCAAGCAGATTGTTTCTTCTCAGCACCCTGTTACTGTTTCTTCTCAGGATCGTCTTTATGGTGCCGACCAGCCCTCTCTTCGTCTTTCATATTCCAAACTTTTGCTACATTGGGGGTCATAAGCAATATGTTGCTATGACACTATGAAGCACACAAGTTGTCAAGTCGCATCAAGTCCGTCGTCGTGCGTAAACTGACATAGCCCTGGGCCTGGGTTCAGTTCTGTTAATGTACCTGTAACACTGCCACCAAAACTAGGGCGGGGATTTGACTGTCGTTGGAACTTGTTTTGTAGTGCAAAGCTTGCTAGCAACAGCTGCAGGTGATGAAGTGGAACTGGAGGAATTACCTTGCAAAGAATCTGTTGCTATGACTGTCCTTCCTTCATGACAAAGCACACAACCTGTCTCACAACGGAAGAGACAAACAACACTTGTGATGTCAAGCATGCGAAGCGCAGGCTGGCCTGCTCTGTGTGTCTAACTCGTGTCTGTGTGTGTGTGTGTGTCAGTTTTCTCTTCTTGAAAATCTTCGTCACTTGGAATGGACACTTGGAACTGAAGCATAGAAAAAGTCATGCTCAGTTGTGGACAACAAAAAAGCACCCTCACGGTCCGCGTTCGTGCGGCATGCGCTTGCCTTTTTTCAAGATAGAATGCTTGTCAGTGCGGTTGTTGCATACTTCATAAATTGCACGTGTTGGTAGTTCCGGGAACCTATCAACGTCACGTCAGCATACATTTGGGTGCAATAGGCTTGCTCATTCTCTCATTTAAGCAATTGTGGTCAGGGGCCTTGTCCCATTCTTGCAAAAAAGACCCAAGTTGTTATAGTGAAAGAGATGGAGGTGATGTTTACCAAACAGCCACAGCTTTACAGCACAAATGTAAATGTACAAACATCAGAACATACATAACATAGTAATACGTAATACATATCATATATCACTTCACATGAAATCACGTCAATCAGGGTACCCGTCAGTACCTCAAAGGAGCAAACGGTGGGTTCCGAAAAGGGGCTTCTATAATTTATATCTGAAAAATAATCGCACAGCTCTTAAAAGCCAACAAGTTGAGAAGATGTTGCACAATGCTCGCTTGTTGACTGGTGATAACGAAACTTCCAGTGCAATGACATGAAATTGTCACTTCCCTGGCTTTGTACGACAGCTCTATTTCTGAGTTGCTCGCATCAGCACCATGCTGTGAAGCCTGCCAACATCAACATCACACAACGTACGTACAGGCGTTAAACAACACATGCACAAAGAAATGATGATGAATCACTCAGGTTGTTAAATGTGTATCACTGTGTACCAGTGCTTTCAAGCCATCACGAGAGTAATCCACTGTAAAGGAACCATGCTTGGTTGGCGTCCGACCGGCATTCCGGTCGTGCATGCTTGTTCGCTGAAAAACGGCGCCTCCACCAGGTCTCCTAGCTCGGTGGTCACCAACAAGATCTCTCTGGGCATCAAATCCTCAAAGTTCAGATCCAAGTGATCCAACTTCCCAACGGAGATCACTCGGCCACCCAGCCTGGCGAGACAAACGGAGGCTTCGTTTGGGTGTCCAGGGTTTTGAGAGATAGTTTGGAGTTGGAGAGAAGATGATTATGAAGGAAGGAACGCTTCAATGAATAACAAGCCGATGGACTGGAACTGACCTCCTGCTTTCCAATTGCAAGCGACCTTGGCTAATAGACGCGTGTTCACTATCGTCACAAACCCACTGCACGGACAAGGAATGATTCATGATCGTGAAAAACCTCAGCTAACAAGAACTGTCCAACTCTACCTCGCCATTTCAAGGGGCAAGCTCTTTGCGCTTTAATTTGTATCTTCCCAAGCTTCTCCTCCACCCCTTTTTGTGCTGACCTCTTCATCTTCAAGGCAACGGATTCCAGTGTACCAGTGGCATCCATCAACGGCCTTCCATCGACCAAAACCATCCAGCAGTGGCCTTCTGAACTCATCTTCCAATCTGAACTCATCTACCTACTCCACTTCTCCACTCTTTCGGCTGTCTGCTATCACTGGTCTCATTCAACAACTTCTTCATTTAAACAGCGCCGCAGAACTTCCACTGCCGAGGACGCGAACATGATGCTTCCGTACTTCGTCTGCAATCAGCTTCTCTTTCTGTCACCCCGATGGCTGAGCGCCCGAACGCCATCACATCCAAGGCAGCCGCACTCCACTTGGGCTGAAGTAAAGGAACCTGGTTTGGACAAAAACGAAATACTACTAGGAACAAGAAGAAGCTAGTAGCTCCTGGTTACTAGTAACAAGGGAGTCACTGAGCCACACTTCCGCCACAAGAACTCGTTCCCTTCGACTCCATCTGAGGGCACCTGCAAGTCTGCACAAAGCTCCACGGCAGCTTCCAGCCAATGGTCCAGCTGGTCACCCTCCTTTCCAACAATGGTCGGTATGGTATGAAATCCAGAAACAAATGGAAAAGTGGCAGCCAATCCTGGAAACCATTTCAAAGCCTGCCTACTATATTACTATATCCCTACTCTGCCACAAGGACGCCTAGCTGTTCATTCAAAGTGGACAGACTTCTCCTGGGCGTCCCAATAACAAAGATCTGCGTTCTCAACGGAGTCCGCTCGTCGGACATGCCCAGCTTTCACTAGGCCTTGGCCACACGAGCAAATCTGGATGGCACCCAGCTTTGCCGCAGTTTGCCAACCATGGACTTAAAGCCAAAATGAAACAGTGCAACTTTAGTACAACCCACCATAAAGCACAACCCGCCAAAAGCCTGCAAACACATCTTACTTCCCTCAGAGAGATCTCCGACCCACTCCTCCATCTTCAAACGTTTCCCGCCTTCCAGCGGCGGACGCCGGTGCACCAGCTCCGTCCATCGCCGCGGCTTGACGAAAGTGCCCAGCCTTGACGTGAAAGCGAGCCAGGTGATCTTGCTAGTAGCGATGCACCTGCTACTAGTAGCTTCTTTCCACTAGTAGCGATGCTTGGCCCTAGTAGCGTCCTTGCTCCTAGTAGTAAGGCCAGGAGCCCCTACTAGCTTCTTGCTTCTAGTAGCTTCTTGCTAGTAGCGATGCACTTGCTACTAGTAGGAACAGGAGGTTATCAAAATACGCAGAGCTCAGAAGTGATCCAATTGCAATGTGAGAATGTCTCAGTATGACTGAATGACTGTCAGAATAACTGTCCATTTGGAGGGAATGACTGCTCAAAATGTCAGGGCTGACATGGCATGAAAATAGGCGTGGATTTGCATCCCTAGGAATTGCGCAAAAAGTGGAGCAAAATGCCTTCTTCCACCCAATCAACCCAAAACTCCCAAGTACAGCACATTCTTTCCAAGAGCATGTTCTGCGATCTGCTGCTGACTGATCGCTCACTCTTCTTGCTCTATACATTCAAGTTCATGCTGGCCAACATCAATGCTCAGCGCTGCACAGATTCCACTACATCCTTGAAGGTGTAGAAGCCCTTCGCAGCAGCCACTGCATCAAGAGGATTCACCTTGGAGAACATGTTGTTGGGCACCGATCCATCGGTCACAGCGGCCATGGCATTGTACACATCCATCACGGTGGCCTTTGGCACCGATGCAACAATGCGTCCGATGGCGGCATTCACGGCCTCATAGTCTGCAGCAGAGGTCACTCCCTTGGCATCGATGCTGCCAATGGCCTCAGCATCTTGGAAGATGCTTTACTGTTGAAGCAGGAATCACAAAGCCTTCAAAGCCTTTGAAAAAATTGCATATACTACTCATATACTTAGGAAAAAAACACAAAGGCCCATTCATGAAGGCAGCCTTTACAAAGAAAATACAGCCACACAGTCCACGAACCAAGTGGCCTTGTGGTGAGCCTGAGCAGCGGCTTTCAACAAGTTTCCGTCCATCTGGCTTCCCATCACGATCATCTTGTCAATGGCTTTCACCACCTTTGGGGCCGTGGTGTCTGGCAGCGGCTTCAGGTAGACATCAGAGAGCCAGTCCACCTCTTTCAAGAAGGGGTAGGATGCATCTGAAAGAGCTTTCGCAGCCACCCCAATCTTGTCCCCACTGGGGACGGTTGCAGGCGCACCAACTGCGGTGACTTGGTTCTTCTCGACCACATCCTTAAAGGCCAAGAAGCCGGCGTAAGCCTTTTCAGCATCTGCGCCGTTGACCAGGGATTTCATGTAGGCAGGCACACCAGGGTCCGTGATGTCCTTCACGGAATTGTAGACGTCCATGACCTTTGCCTTCGGAACAGATGCCACCACACGGCCCAAAGCTGCGTTCACCGCATCCCAATCAGCCCGGGAAGTCACACCGTTGGGACCCGAGATGCTTCCGATGGCCTTATGATGAGCCTCCGCGGCTGCCTTCAAAAGCTTGGGGTCCGCTGCCGCTCCCATCTCGATCATCTTGTCAATTGCCTTGAGGGCCTTCAAGGGTTGGAACTTGCCTGGGGCTTGGAGAAAGATTCCGTTGTTCCAATCCACTTCCTTCGCAAAGTCATACGAAGCGTCACCAAGCTTCTTGGCTGCATCACCGATCTCGTCGGCAAAGGCTGCTGGAGCCAACATCATGCTGGCAGCCGATGCTGCTGCCACAGGTGCATGCTTTCGCAAAGGCGCAGGCACAAAGCTCCAGCTGCAGAAGTTGTACATAGCTACCAGCAGAGCAGCCACCGGCAAAGCCTTCCACGCAGAACGTGCCATGATTTCGATCAGAAGGGCTGGAGAGCACTTCGCCGTCAAGAGTCAAAAAGTAGATCCAAAAACTTACAAAAGCTCACACCATCTCGCACGCACTGTGTTCAATGGTCTCGCATGGTCAGTTGCAAACACTGAACAATTGAGAAAGGAACATGTTCGTGCTGATCATACCCTGTTCATTACACCATCGCCATGCTCTGGGGCATGGTCTCAAAGATTCTGGGCCGCTCTGGCAGGCTTGACAATGCCTGGCTCAGCAGGTCACTGAAAGACTGAAAGACTAGAGATGTCATCCAATGAAGGGCTGAGAAGGTCGATGTCTGGCAGGTTTGACTTGAATCTCATGAAGGGCTGAGCACAAGCTGTAGAAATGACGGCGTCAAGGGGAGACAGAGTCGCCTCAGCAGATTGCTTGCCCTCAAAGTTCCTGCAGCAATTTGCACAATTTAAGCCGAGTCGAGAAAAAACAAAATCATCTCTCTGGCCGTTATCAGCACGTGAAAATACCATGTTCCAGATCTGTTTGGCAGTCCTTAAAACAAGCTCACCAGAAGACCACGAAGCCAAAGTATCCTTGGCACAATCTGTTGCTAAGACTTTCCCACAAAATAGCTAGCATCCACTAAGCGCTTAATGGCTTCTTCTATACCAAATATGTCTCAACTTTCGGCGAGGCCTTTTTTCCCCGTGTCCATCACCCACACAGGTCCGAAAGGCAATTCCGCATGAACCTCACAGCCTCACTGACATCCGAAGACCCTGGGCTCCAAGCCGGCATCCCTCCTTCACGCAGGGCGGCAGACTGCACCTGCACACCAAAAATGCGACGGCAGCAGTACGCCTTCCGTTTCAGTGAAAAAGGCACGACGCCTTCGCAGGCAAAGCATTCCCCGTAACTGCAGCGACCTGACTTTCCAACAATCATCAACAATCCACTTCCTTGACCAAATGTTGTAGCCCCTGTGTGTGTGTGTGTGTGTCAAGTTCCAGGAATGTCCCACAAATGTCCACATTGATATGTCCACATTGACTTCCACAAAAGCTGGGCCGCGGCACCAACTTCTCCCGCTTGGCCAACTCCTGCGCGGAGCGAATGGCACCCGCGCCGCATGGGCCCCACAGCCCGCCGCCCAGTCGTAGGGACGAGGCCTCCAGAGGCGGCGGCTTGGGACAAAAAGCAGTTTGTGGTTGACACTTCTGTAAAATGAATGACATATCATATCTATATATTCTTTCTATGTTAGTTATATGTGAATTTGATGGAACCCTTCGAATGAATCAACCAAGCAGTTCGATCCGACGGCAGCGGCAGTTCGAAGCAATCGAGCATGTGTACGAGGATGCCAAACAAAATGTTTGGCTCAAGGGTTGAGCAGACTCACAGGAGGACAGGACACGGCTGAAACAAGCACGGCCGCTTGGGGGACGTTTGATAGGAGGTAGGTTGTAGGTAGGGAGCTACCTTTGTGGTTCCTATCGGAATCACATTGGTAGCGGAGCCTAAAGTGGCTTCTGTAGGACAGAATAAGCCATGGAGGGTTCTGGGTCATCGACAGATGACAAAAGTTCAGGTATCTGGCGTATGCTGCCTTCGTTCGATCCTAGCACGGACAATGCTCGCGAGTATCTGGCCAAGGTCAAGTTTCTTGATGGCATTTGTCCAAAGAAGGACAGACCAATGTTGGCGCCCAGGCTGGCGATGCTTTGTAAAGGAACAGCATGGCATCAAGTCCGAGCCCTTGCTCCAGAGTTGTTGACAGATCCTGAAGAACAGGGATAAAGCACTACCTAGCTGCCCTCGAAAGCTGGGAAGAGAGTTCAGAGCTTCGAACGTTTGAATTATTCGATCGTGCAATTTACAAGACGATTCAGAAGCCGGACGAATCCACGCAGAGCTATGTAAACAGGTTGATGGTGGCTTTCGATGAAGTTGGAACGGACACCACCCTGAAGTCAGTCATTGCATTCATCCTTCTCAAGCAGAGCAGTTTGAACCATGAAGATAAGAAGAAGGTCTTGACGATGACCAACGGGGTTCTTGAGAAGACTGCACTTGAAGGAGCAATGAGGTCATTGTCTACGAACGTGTTGACTGGTTCAGGAACAGTGGAAAAGAAAAAGATTTACCCCACCAACTTCATTGAGCCCGACGAGACAGAGTTCAACAAGGACATCAACCATACATATGCTATGAGTCATGAAGATGAAGAAGAGTTGACCTATGAAACCATCGAAGCAATGGCTTCGTGGGGGGATGCCGATGCCCTCACCGTCGAGACTTTTGAGAAAGATTTGGAGGAATTGATGCAAGAAGTCCCTGATCTTCATACAGCCCTGGTCTCATACCATGAAGCTCGTGCCAGGATCAATGAGCGCAAGCAAAATCGTGGGTTCTGGCCTGCTGGACAAAAAGGGTCTGGAAAGGGGTACAAGTCTGGATTTCAGAGCAGTGGTTCAAAAGGTTTTCGAAAGGGCAATTCAAAAGGAAAAGATGAACTACTTCAGCGTATTGCTAGAACGCACTGCAAGAAGTGTGGCGAACTAGGTCACTGGAAGGCCGAGTGTCCGAACAAGGCCAATGATTCAGTGAACATCGTGACTCAAGAGGCCTTTGATGAGACAGATCAGGTGGTTTTCGAGACCTTGAGCCTGACCGAGATCGAAGAGGTTCGCGTGGTTGAAAGAGTTGAAGGGTTCACAAATGAAAGCAAGTGTTTCCACTTCGAGCATGCCTTCGTAGGAATTCATCAAGAGCTTAATTCAATCGATCCTAAGGGAGACATCAAAGTTAAAATGCAGCAGTTTTTTGCAAGTCGGCCAGGCAGAGAGAGCAGAGCACCCACAACCCGATCCTGAAGGATCAAATCCGCCTGTTTCCAAGCTGTACCAGTAAGACTGGTCAAGAAGCCTTCAACACCCAAGGCTATGCAGCGAAGTGTCATTGGATCTGAGAACCTTCCTCAGATGATGCAGTTGTTGGATCCCGCCACTCGAGCCCGCATAAAGGAAAAGGCAAGCTGCATAGGATTTTGTTTTGGCAATAACCAGATTGAGTATAGCTTTAAGCAGGTGTGGATCCCCATAAGGAATGGAGCACAACAGATTTGGTTGGTCATTGAAGTGGTTCCCAAGAGCACCCCATTTTTGTTGTCCATTCAGACCATGAGGAGACTAGGAGCCGTTCTTGATTTACAACAAGGAACATGCTTTTTGCAAACTCTAGGTAAAGCCATCCCATTGAAGCAAGGCACCACAGGTCTTTTGATGATCAGTTTAGCCGATCTTTGTCAGAAGCCAACCAAAGCCACGTTCGTCGCTTCACCAACCGAAGAGCCAGCAGCCAGTGTAGTGTCAAGAGTTGTTGATCAGCCGGAGCCGAAGTTTTCCCCAAGCCACGCCGACCCGTCAGGAAGTCATGGAAATGATCAGGGAGACGGCAGATGCAGTCATGCAACTGCTGAAACTCCTATTGACCATGCTCATGAATCAGGTCCAGACACAGGTGGAAGTGACTGCAGATCAGTTAGTGCCGAACGAACATGCCTTACAGCTGCAACACCTGATGCAGGAAGTTCAGTGCCAGAAGACAATGTTGCAGGAGATCGCGAACAACCTGAAGACATCAGGAACTCTTTCCACCTCAGGGACTCATCGATTGACGGAATGGGTCGACATCGAGGAAAGAGAAATTCATCGTTGGGAGGACGAAATGATGATGAACGAAACGGCCAAGGTGCCAATGCCAACGAGTCCAACTCGTCCCAAGTCGGCACCTCAACCTGCAAGTCCGACAACACCAAAGACAGCAAGTTCAGTCAATCTGCCTGGAGCAAGTGGAGCCCGATCCCGTCCGACAGAAGCACCCATGTTGAGTGGACCCATTCTGGCCCGCGGAGGAGCTCGCCGATCAGACGAAGGGGTGACGGAGACCGAGTTCAGTGCCCCACACGGCAAAGATCTTGCATGGACCCAGGATGCTATGACATCTTGGGGACGCAAAGTCATCAGCTGGGGAAAGAAGCATCCTGGCAAGATGTACTATCAAGTGTACGAATCAGACGACCAGTACACGAGCTGGTGTTTAAGCCGCCTGAACAGCCTAGGAATGCCAGTGCTAGACTATGCCAAGTACAGTCAAGTACAGACTTGTCAACCTTTCAAGGACAGATGGAGCTGCTTCGCACCATAATTCGATCAAGACCAAAACATGTCTGGGTTGCTCCTGAGTGCGCGCCATGGTGTGCATGGAACCGATTTAATGCCAAGCGAGGCATTCAGGCATTCGAAACCATTCAATCAATGCAAAGCCTTTCACGAGAACATTTGAAGTTGTGCGCATTCATATGCAAGATCCAGATTGAAGGCGGAAGGCATTTTACAATGGAGAATCCAGGTGCATCCGGAGCATGGTCACAGCCTGAAACAAAAAACATTGTTCGACTCACTAAAGGTGTTGAATTCGACCAATGCCAGTTTGGGTTAAGGCATCCACAGAGTCAGAATCCCATGAAAAAGGCCACCAGATTGCAGACCAAATCTCGAGAGATTGTCAGGAACATGGATGGAAGAACATGCAACGGGGAACATGTCCATCATCCCATTGCAGGAAGCTGTCAATTCAAAGGGAAGACATTCGCATTGTCCAGGTTTGCTGCCTTTTATCCATACATGTTAGCGAGAAAAGCCGCAAAGGGGATTCTATTCGAGAACCAACATCCTGATTGTCCAATCATTGATGCATCAACAGCCATCGAAATGTCGTGCCCAGTTCGAGAAGCTGTAGACCCACCCGAGGATGAACCTGAAGCCAAGAAGAAGCGAGTTGAGGGCCCATCGGAAGACCCTGGCACTCGCAAGAGGGAATTGGAACCATATGAACCATATACAGTTTTGTCCGGACAACCATGGACTGATGTCATGAATAGACTTCAGAGCCTTTTGCCTAAGTCCGGAGCACAGAGCATTGATTTGGAAACTTGGCCAGGAAATTTCCTCGTCCAGCATTGTCAGATTCAGAAGGTACAAGAGATTAAAGCAATTAAAGGTGTCGAGAAATTCATGATAGGAAATCATGCATATCCACACAGGCAAACCATCAGCCTTTGCAGGAAGACCCAAAGAATTATGGATCTTGGGGTTGAGGAATGGACAAAGATGCCACAAACACAGCAACGTAGGAAAGCCATTCCGAGTCACATCATGATCAGCATTTTTGGTGAGAATCCAAATGAATTGGATGAGGACCAAGCCAAGTCCGAGCCAGTGCCGAGATCTAATCAAGCCGCGAAGCCCAAGAGCCAGTCAAGCCTGGGAGAGAAAATCTCTCCACCAATTCGTGCTGAAGCCTCAGGAGAAACACCCTCAAGTGAGAATAAAGGAGAGGTTTCCCAAACCAAGGCAGCCGAAAGTCTAGCACCTATCCCCACCTGGATGCCAGTATCAACCATAAACTCAGGACCAAAGTTTTTAGAACTCAATAGCAAGCAGCAATCCATGATTCGCAAGATGCATAATAATCTGGGACATCCTGTTTCCGAACGTTTGAGTGAACACTTAAGTAGATTGGGTTTCACTGAACAAATGATTGAAGGAGCCAAAGATTATCAATGCCAGTCATGTGCAGAAAGAGTTCCACCAAAACTGACTACTCCAGGCAAGCTCAAAGAACCAAGGGAATTCAACGAAAGACTTGCTCTTGATGGATTTGAATGGAAAGGGGAAAAAGGGAACAAATACTATGTGTTGCACTTTTTCGATGAAGCCACTCATTTTCATCTTGGCAGACGTTGTCAAAGAACCGCAGAAAGCACCATCAAAACCATGACAGAAACATGGACCCATTGGGCAGGATCACCACAAGAGATTCAACATGATGAAGCTGGGGAGTTCATGAGTCAACCATGGAAAGATTTCCTACAGCAAGAGGGGATTCGTTCGCTAGTAAGTGCAGCACCCTGGCAGAGAGGTCGGATTGAGAGGCATGGAGGTGTGATTAAAGAAATGCTTAGTCGAATTGATAAGGAGCAGCCAATAACCAACGAAAAGCAGTTCGACATGGCCTTGAGTCAATGCTTCCAAGCCAAAAACAGTCTGACCATTGTAAAAGGGTATAGTCCCGAGCAAGCCGTTTTAGGAAAATCACGCAGACTGCCTGCTTCCATTTGTGGAGATGAAGAATTTACAGCTCACTCAATAGATCAACCAAAAGATACTAGATCAGAAGACTTCCTACAAAAGATGGAAATAAGGACACTTGCCCGGAAAGCTCTCCTGGATGCTGACAACAGTCAAGCAATTCGTCGTGCCTTGAACCATCAATCCAGAGGACAAGAACATCCATGGAGATGTGGGGAGCTGTGCATGATATGGGACAAAAGAAAATCCCCAAATATGCTTGAAAAGGGACGATGGACTGGACCATGTCAGATTGTCATGGAAGAGAGCAGAACAATAGTTTGGGTGACACAAATGAACCGACTGTTACGAGTTGCAAAAGAAAATATTCGGCCAGTATCAATTCGTGAATTCAATAGGGTCGCAACCTTCCATCAGAGTTGTGAAGAAACTAAACTTCAAGCTATGGCAGAACAACTGAAGAAGCAATTGAAAGAAAGAAGTGGAATGTTTCAATTCTCTGATTTGACGGAAGTGGAACCACCTCAACAACAAGCAGAAAACAGTGGACCCCAACCAGAAGAAGAACCTCACCGAAGGGATTCTGAAGCCGATATACCAACGATAGAGCCAGCCAGCGTGAATGCCCGAGCCAAGTGATTTGCCAAATGCAGAACCTGCAGCAGAGTCCGAAGAGCCTCCGAGGAGTGATCCTAATGGGGAAAGGGATCCGAATAGAGAGGGGGGGGAACAATGAATCAGTAGGCAGTAGGGGATTCAATTGATTTCATGAATGAAGTTTACAATGTCAGCATTGTAGAAGCTAATGATCCAAACGCAGTCACAGTGCAAGATAATGGAACATTGTGGCCGTGCACCGAGAACATTCCGATAGAGAATGCCAATGTTTGCATGTTTGAATTTGATGTACCCACCAAATATCTGTCCGCATTTTGCACAGACCCATGTTTGCATGCCGAGCAGATGGTCCAGGCAGCAAAGAAGAATCATGTTGAAGTAGTATATAAACACTTGAGCCCATCCGAAAGAGCAGAATTCGACCAGGCCAAAAACAAAGAACTTGGATGCTGGATTGAAACCTCCTCAATTGAGCCAATCTTAAGAGATTTATTAAAATACATCCGTCCAGGATAATGTCTTCTCGATGGATATTGACGTGGAAGGTTGACCCCAATTCACCCCAAGGAAGAAAAGCCAAAGCTAGTAGTAAGAGGTTTTGAGGACCCTGATGCAGCTTCAGTGAGTACTGAATCACCTACATTGTCTCGAGATGGCCGTATGGTGATCCTCCAAGAAGTCAGCAGCAGAGGGTGGAATTTGCAAAGTTTTGACATCAAAACTGCATTTTTGCGTGGTAGGTCTGATGAAAGGGTTCTAGCAATGCAGCCAGTTGTGGAACTACAAACTTCATCTCAAGTCCAATGAAGTTTGCCTTTTGAAGGACAATGCTTATGGGAGAGTGGATGCACCCCTTCTGTTTTACAAAGAGTTCAGAAAGAATCTTGAAGCCGAAGGATTCCAAGCCCACCCATTGGACGCATGCCTGTTTATTCTTCGTAATCCCAATGAACCAAATAAACTCGAAGGAGTTTTAGGCAATCATGTTGATGACGGGATTGGAGGGGGAACGGAAGTGTTTGAAAAGGCACTGGAAAGAATCCAGAAGAAGCTGCCGTTTGGACAAAGGGAATACAAGAAGTTTCGGTTCACAGGTCTTGACATTGAACAGAATCCAGACAACTCAATTCGTATCAGTCAAGCCGATTATATCCAGAAGATTGCTCCCATTGATGTGCCGAAACCTCGTAGAAAGGATGAAAAATCTGCAGTCACAGCACCCGAGCTACAACAGCTGAGAGCTCTTTGCGGAAGTTTACAGTATGCTGCAGTGCTTTCGAGGCCAGATCTTGCAGCCAAAGTGGCATTTCTCCAAAAGAAAATACCAAATGCATGTGTTTCAGATTTGATGGAAGGAAACAAAATATTGAGAGAAGCCAAGAACACAGCCGAAACCTCTATTTTGATCCAGCCAATTCCCATTGATCAGATAACATTTGCAAGTTTTGGAGATGCAAGTTTTGCTTCGGAAAGCCAAATGAAAGCTCAGCAAGGATTGTTCGTCATGGCCACTACAAAGAAACTTGAACAAAATGAGACCTCCGAGTTTTCTCCTTTAGCATGGGGTTCCAAACAGATTGCACGAGTAGTAAGGTCCACCCTAAGTGCTGAAGCATATGCCATGTCGAGCTCTCTGGATAAGTGAACATGGATTAGATGCCTATGGGGTTTTCTGAATGATCCAAAGTTTCAATGGCAGAAACCTGAAAGGGCACTCCAGAGTCATCCTAAGGCCCTCCTGATCACGGATTGCAAATCTCTCTATGATTTAGTAACCAAATTAGCCATCCCAAACTGTCAGGAATGCAGGACCACGATAGAGGTGATGCAGATTAAGGAGCAGTCAGAAGGAAATGCTCAATGCCGATGGATCTCCACTGCTATCATGTTAGCAGACTGCTTAACGAAACCCATGGATGCAAGTTTCTTACGAAAAGTTCTGGCCATCGGACGCTTTCGAATTTTTGATGAGACAAAGACCTTGAAAACAAACGCCAATAGGAAGTTCGGTGAACGATGGGCGGAAGGATTTAGAAACTTAGCAACTGATTCATTTCGAAAAGAAAAACAGAATGTGTGTGAATTTAATGGAAGTTCACCATGAACCCTTCGAATGAATCAACCAAGCAGTTCGATCCGACGGCAGCGGCAGTTCGAAGCAATCGAGCATGTGTACGAGGATGCCAAACAAAATGTTTGGCTCAAGGGTTGAGCAGACTCACAGGAGGACAGGACACGGCTGAAACAAGCACGGCCGCTTGGGGGACGTTTGATAGGAGGTAGGTTGTAGGTAGGGAGCTACCTTTGTGGTTCCTATCGGAATCACAGTTATATATATATGTATATATGAACGGTATATATATTAAAATATTTATTATGTATTGAACAAACATAAGGAATGTGTATGTCAGGTTTGGTAGAAACTGACCAAGAATGTCAATAGCTGCTTTTCGAGATGCACTATGACAAAGCCAAAGCGGTCCCCCACGACTCACAATGATCACATCCTATCAAAAGCGAAAAATTACAAAAAAAAATACTCGAAAACCACTGATACTCTTGACAGCCCAACAATCCCCAACATCGCGGCATCCCACCTCAAAGAGAACACAACGATACAATCGAGCCACCTCAGGCTGAAGCTCAAGCACCCCATCGCCCTCCCCGCCCAAGGTCCGACTGGTCCCCCGCTGAGCAACGGACCTCTTTCAAACCAGAGATTACGCGCGGTGAAGCCGCAGCCATCAGGCACCATCCACACCCTACATGTTCTTAGGGGCAACGACGCTACTAGGGGCTCCTGGCATCGCTACTACTAAAAAGAAGCTACTAGTGACAGGAGAGAAGCTACTAGTCTTTTGTTTTTTTACATTACTTGCATGGGGAGTGACCTTCTTTCGATGCCTGTTTCGCTCTCACCTTGTCTGATTTGTTCCTTGGGTTCCAGAAGATTGCATGACTACGCATAACCTGATTGAAACCTCACCATCAGTCAAGGGCTTCCGAGCATCAATCCAGAATCTTGCATGAAGTGTCTTTGATCTCATTCCCTCGTCGGCAACAGCAATTGGAAACAGACCGGCTGAACTCATTCTGATTTGCTAAATTCATACATGTGGGCCATGGAATAGGATCCCAGAGAACCCAATGTACAACTCTGTCTGCATCTCGCACATGTTGCGCTCGGCAAGGTGTGGGAAATGCTATTTACGCAGTCATCTGTTCAATGAAATCAAAGGGCGTTCCATTGCCGGATGAACTGTACAACCCAGCAAGAGCCACCAAACAAAAGTTGGCCATGAAACCTGCTAAGACCAAACTGAACTACACTTCTCATGTTGGCACACGACCTCCAAGAGCCTTTGCAAGAGCCTCATCCACCATATCCTGGCTGAGCATCACTGAGTTTTCTTCAAGTAGCTGCTCATTGAAACAGCTTTCTTCAAACACTTGCCTGGCGAGTCCTCGGGCTCTGATATCTCAATTTGGCTCACAATTTAGCTCACAAGGTGACGGAAAAGGTCTGTCGATGCTTCAAACATCTGCGTGCTACGTCTTTTTCTGCATCTGTAAGCTACGTCTTCTCAGCTTGTGGCGTTGAAGGCTCGGGAGCCTTCTTCAGTTCCTCTTCCACTTGCTCTGGCCTAGGGGCAAACGTCCCTAGGACGGACTGACTAGGAAGAAGAGTTGAAAAACAGTTCATTACGCTGAACTAACAGGTCTGGTTCCCACAATGATGCCCAGGTTCCCATCAATGTTGGAAAGCTGGATAGGCACTTATTGTATTGTATTTCACCCTAAGTCTACTGGCTACTGGTATGTGATTGCTGCAGCCCTCAACGCTATTTCTCAACTCCTCCGCGAAAGAAATGGTTTTTGCAGCATCGGACTGGCTTCGAAGTGGAGCTCATCTTCTGACAGTTCTCTTTTATGTTCTTACATCAAGGGTTTCAACCATTCCATTCTTAAGTCCAGCGAGTAGGTTCACAACTGGTCCAGCAACACCAGAGTCCAAACTGGCCACAACAGAGTTGAGATCCATGACGACGTCTTGCTTCGTTTGGTCACAAAAACGCAGATCCACAAATGCAAGCTGACAACCCAATCCTACCAGAAGCTTGTTCTCTCCAACTAGACAAGCAGCATTTGCTTGGGCATCACACTCCAACTTCCCAACCACAGCTCCAGCACGACTGTCAACCCAAGAAACACCATCCGAATGACACACAATAGTGTACTCTTCGCAGTCAATGATTTGTCGAACCCAAGAGCCTGCACTGACCGTTGTGGACCAAACGGAGTCACACGAGCTTGATCCCAACTGCCAAAGCTTCAGTGCACCACCCGTTCCACCACTGTAAAGGAATTTTCCCCAGCACAAAGAGGTCACCTCCTGCAAGCCGTGGGGGTTCGGCGCCAAACATCTGACGCAGATCTCCGCGTCTCCACGCAGATCTTCCGGCGCAAAGATCGCCAAAGCGTCCTTCGAGATGGATGCCACCAAGCTTGGTCCCGAAGTCAGAGCTCGGCACCCACGCGTGTGGAAGAAGCAGCGCTGCACAGGCTGAAGGCCGGCTGTGGGAGTGAGGTCATAGACTTTCAGGGATTCGCCTGGGGTTGGGATGAGGCCGGCAGAGACGGCGACCAGCAGCCAATGCTCAGAGATCTCTAAAAAATCGTTCAAAAAGCCGCCCACATGAAGTTCTTTGAGCTGGGAGGGTGCCTCGTACCCAGGCTCTGCCCAGTGACGAAGCAAAGCCGAATCCCAACATCCAGTGTAAACTTCATGTGAGTCATTGGCGCAAGCCATGCGGATCACATTCACCTGGGCATCATGCGCTTGCCAGCATGTGACCCTTCTACATCGGTCTGTCGTCAACAGCTCGTCCAGTTCCTCCCAATCAAAATCAGGGTCGTACATGGGACTCAGGGACTGGTTGCCTCACCATGGCCTCACCGGGTTTTGCAGCACTGAGCCACTGAGCCAGAGCCATTCGAGCGGAGCTCAGGCTGCCAAGTCCAGCTTGCCTCCGGTGCCTCTATTGCGTCACATGTCATACTGGAATCTGGAACCCAAAGCTCCTAAACTGTGATTCCCAAAGAGTATGACAAAATTTGAGTTGACCCCACCTCTCTTGTCTGAGTCCTTCTCTATTTTGGAATGAGGATCCAAGCTGCTCCAATCTTCTTAATCTACAGCTCGGGACCCAAGCCGAGAAATCCCGCTGAATTACAGCAATGGTGGTGTCTACAAAAATAGAACAACCTCTGCCGCCTCTGCCGTTTTCTTTGGTTTACGTGGCTACTTCACTTGGACGAGGTCACTGCAATTTGCTTGGACGTCAAGAGGACAGGACCCGGTTTCATAGCGGTTGGATGCAAACCGAATTCCAGGGTGATGAAAGCTATCATAATCAGAGTGAGAGTTTCAGGTGGCCCAGACAAAAGCTGCTCAAATGTTTGCCAGCACTGTTTTCCATCATAGCGAACATTAGCCAGGACCTTTTAAAGTGGCATGCAAAGTGAAAGCTACGGATTCTACTGGGTGCCCCTTCTTCAAAGAGCTCAGACTGTAACATTGCCATAAAAGCCGCTCCGTCCAGGAGAGCTGGATTCATTAGGATTCATTGGATTTGAGTCCGTCCAGTCCCAGCGAAAAATGCGGAAGAATGAAAGGCCCAGGTTCAAAAGTTCTTCTGCATTGAAGCCAAGCCACGTCAAGAACTCTGCTGGCTTGGCACGTTGGTTCACTGCGACCTGATGCACAGAAAAATGACATGAAGGATCTTGGCATTGGGATGTCGCTGTTGTATAAATCACCTTTCGCAACTGGATTCGGCATTAGTTGGATTTTGAATGCTGCACAAAGTTGTGCCACCGACTTCACGGAACCTTTCTTTGTTGGCACGGCCGGTCACATCTAACAATTGAGCTCGACATGGAAGATGAACAAAACTATCCACATCCTCTGAGCCACTGAGTGGCTGAAAAGGTTTTTGAGATCTCACTGACTGCACGCTATCGCAGCGCACTCTTGGGGGCCCACCGACACAGAACCCATCAAAGCAGTTCCCTCCACCTGGCGTCGGATTTGGTCGACCCCGTAATGACAAACAACGCCCAGAACCACGCCTTGATGGTGATCACCGGACTCGCTGCCTGGTGCAAAAAGCGCAGGCGACCACGGCGGCCCCGTCCATTTTGGGGTCCGGACAGTCTGTGGAATCGAATGCGTCGCTGCTGAATAGACGCCACCTGTGCCGCCAAACCTGTCGCAACTCGCGAGGGTTTTCTAGACATTTAGAGACGAGCCAAGGTGCAACACTGGCACCAGACACACGGCGAAAAACTTAAGGTGTTCACCCACCCATGATTGCTTGGCCATTCTGCTCAACTGCGACTCCTGTAAGAGCTGGCGAACATCAACCGCAAAAGGTCAAAATGAAGCCAACTTCATTGGAGCAACGCCAAGTATCGACTGGAAGTGTGGTTGGTCCCACCTGGTGGAACGATCAGGGTGACTCCACCCCAGAAAGCCTCCGGAAAACCAAAATACCAAAGTCTGCGCGACAAATGGAAATATGAAAAAACAAACACAAAAATGCATTGAAGCACCCGCCTTCGTGAAAACCGTGTACGATTGGTACTTAAAAAGGGCCTCTGCAAATGCTCACACGGGGCAATGAAGAGTGTGAAAATGATTTTGTCCTGTGAAAAGTCCACAGTGGCTCCACCTGCATTTCAATGACATCAGCAAATTGCAACGTCAAATCACACAATGAAAGCCAACCAACCTGCAATGGCTTTGACATTTAACTCCTGCTGTCATGCACAGTAACATGTTGGATATGTTGGTATTTCCTTCTCTGTTTCACTTGAGTGAAGCAACTCCTGCTCTGGCACCCAACGGCCATATTGATTGCTGGCGCCAAAGATGCCCGTGAAGCTCGACATAGTGTGAACAAAAATGTTCTCGACAGTGAAGTGAAATTCCAAAACAACAACTTGACAAATGATTGGCTTTGTGAAAGGAGAAGGAATGCATGCACATGAAAACTCGTAAACTGCAACCGCGGCTGTGTTGCTCTCTGCAAAACACATTTTACGCTTTTGAGCCGAAAAATGCACAATTGGTCATAGCTGCAAGTGCTTGACCAAACAACACCAAAATGTCTGCTTAATTGCGTTGTCACAAAGAATTCCGAGCACCATCTTGCTTTTAAAAACCCCAGCTGATGCTGGTGGCAATGGCACACACGCCACAACTACGCACAACTCATGTTGTTGTCCCGGTCTCTTAGAATGCGTCCATCAAGAACTTCAAAAGTCATCGAACTTAGAATGCCTGCCCCGACCCTGGAACTTAGAACGCCTCCTCACACCCACAACGTCCCTTGCATTCCGGCAAACTGATGGAGTCTCCAGAATCTTTTGTCCAAATGTGACCGTGCCAGAAATGCAACAAACTCTGAAAAATCAACCCCTGCGCTCTTCAGATCACCAAAAATATGCACGCACCACTGGGCAGAACTCCGCCATAAAGCTTCATGCATTGGAGTGCGATTTTGTCAAAAAAGAAGCATGGTGTGTTCAATTCATCTTGAGCACGGAAGAAGGTGTGTTTGTGTGTTGATGCCAAGTCACAGCTTTGATGCCGTGCTTTGGCTGGAACGGCCAGGATCAACCAGGGGCGGAAAGGGTGGTTTTTTTCAATGTGTATGTGTGAACATGTGTGTGCGCATGTGAAAATACGCATGCAAGTGTGCATGTTTTCACTGCCGACGGATTGAAATGCATTCCGAAAAACTGTAGATATCACAGAAACCAAACCTGCAGGTTTCGAGTGAAAAATCATCGACCCTGTTTAATGCCGTTCAATGCTGTCGACAGCCCGGCTAAGCCATGTGCAAATGCCGGAATGCGAACTTTTCCTGATTGAGACCTTGAGGGGCCCGGCTCTCAGATCACATGGGGTGTGCTTTGAAGTCAAGTCGCACAGCTGGGTGGGTTTCTTTCGGTCTCTCTGCCTTTCTGACCATCGGCAATGAAAAAATTCAAGAAAGTGAGGTAAAACAAACTTCTTTGAGCTCGAAAGTTGAAAGCTCAGGTTTCTTGGGTGAGCATGGGTTCCGTTCTCTCACGAAAACGCGCTTGTTTTCCGGCTATGTTTGAGCCACTTGTATCGGTTTGTCACACTGATAAGAACAGATCTTCAACTGTTCTCTCTGTGTGTGTCATCCTGTACGCAGGGGCCATGCTAACATGTGACACCCCGCCTTAGGGATCAGCAGTCTTTTAGCTGTGCCCTACAACAGTCCATCGTGTGAGACTCTGTATTCTCTCAGTTCTGCGGCTTCAGATCATGCCACGAGCACTGATTGCATTGCTTTGCTTTGCCAGTTCATCAAACATTCTGAATTCATTCTTCTGGATCGACGTTTTCCTTGTCGTCCTGTTCATTGGTGCCATCAGCTTCATCATCTGCCTCTGCACCTGCTTCTCGGAAGTATTCTTCCTCTTCATCAACGTCCATTGGATCGTAGTGCCACTCGATCCATGCGTCGGGATCTTCACTTTCTTCTATAGGGCCTCCTACCCCAATCCTCTGCTCTTCTGTCTCATCATTTGCCTCCTCTTCTGCTTCTTCTTCTTCCTCATTGTCTGTGTCATCTTCTCCTCCTGGACTTGTTTCATTGTCCGTGAAGAAATCCAGACTTGGCCCGTTCTCAATCCACTTGTTGACTGTAATGGTCGCTGAGTGGTAGGCCAATGGATCTTGCCTGCCACACAACAAAAGCAAATACTGCAAGTAGCGAAGTGTGTTTCTTGCAGCTCGAATGTCACTTCTCAAGTCAGGATCCCTCTGGTATTCAAGACTTCTGATGTGTTCATTCAAGTTCCGACACGCCAGAGTGAGTGAAACCAGAAAACCATCGTCCTCATCGAACCTAGTTTAAACCATGTAGTGTCATTCTCCACGTCTCCATAGCTCTCGGCATAACGCTCTGCACTAGGGCTGGTTGAAACTACACATACCTACTCTGCAACTCTAATGGCTCAAGCTAGTGACTTGCAAGAGTGAGCATGCCAGCTGATACGCCTAGGCCCAGCCCTTGCTGCAGTGAAGAAGGGATGGTGGCACAGACCTGCGCCTTCCTTACGCTGGCAGGAGAGAAGCTGCCCATTGAGGTAGTGCTGAATGCACATACCGGCATTCGGGGTTTTGAAAATGCCTTATTAGCAGAGCTCCCCTATTTGGGATGCAGTAGCAGTTCTCTCGATCTTCTTCTTCGGCTTTCCACTTCAGGAATTCTTCCTGCCTCTGACGCTGGATCTCTCGTCCATGCTCCAAAGCCTGGGCTCTTCTTTCTGATCGATACAGAGCCTGCGCCTTTCGGCGTTCTTCCTCTTCCTTCTCTCGGCGGGCAAGTTCCTTCTCCCATTCGATCGCTTCCGCTTCTCGCTCGGATGATAGCTCGGTGCGAAACAAATGGGCTCGCTGGTCGTCGGTCAGGTGCTCCAGATACTTCGGTACTTTCTTCGCACCCGATCCTGACGCCGTTGACTCCTTCTCTCTCTTGAGGGTCGCGGTACCCCTCTCTGCTTTCCTGAGCAGATCTTGGGCTTTCTGAGCCAACACTTCTTCTGCCACCGCTTTTTGCTCTTCGGTAAGCGGTCGACTTTTCGCTTTGGGTTTGGTCGGCGGTGTCTTCGGACCAGGAACCGATGGTGTCTTCGGCTCCGGAATCTCCTCCGGCTTGGCGATCACTTCCAAAATTTCTTCCAGCTTGACACTCGCCGGACTCGTAGCTGCCATCACCGGACCAGGAACTGGCGGCTTCTTTGGCGACGGAACAGGTGGCTGCTTGGCCGGTGGTTGCCATCCGGGCGGCGGCACTGGCGGCGGCTGAGGGCCAATAGGCCGAGTCTTGGCTTTGATCGGTAAGATCGAAGGCGTCTTCCGCTGCTTGACCGATTCGTCCAATCTCTTCAGGTTCTCCTCTGTCAGCTCGAGGACTGGCGGATCGGCTGTCTCCGACATCCATTCGGAAGTACTGGCATCGGTCACGCTCAGAGCTGCGTTGCCGGCTGGCCTCAACAGTGACCTGACCTGGGACGTGAACTTCACTTTCTCCTTGTCTTGGGGTCTTCGCTTCATGAAGTAAGCGGTCCCAGGCTTGATCTCCTGTCTTTTCGCGACAACCTCTCCCTCCGGCGTGGCGCCGATCCTGACGATGGTCTCGCTCGTGATCCGTTCTCTTCCCGTCAAGCCCGATGACGGTCGGCTCTTTGGACCTTCGCTCGGGGCCGGAGCACTCTCCGGAAAAGCTCCGGGGATCTCTTCCATATCCCCAACATCCGAGGCTTCCCCATCGTGACTCCCCTTTGGGGCTTGATCTCGACGAACTCCTTTTTCACGCGAGAATCGGACGCTTTCGGTTGCGGACGCGCCTTTGGCGCGATCCAAGCACGATGCTAGTGCTGCACACTGATCTCGCAAGCGTGCAAACTCCTGTGTAAGGAACAAACAGGTGTCCAACGGGTTCTTGAC